TTCTTAAATTCCACATAGGAGTGAAATCATATGGTATTTGTGTTTCTCTGACAAACTTATTTTGCTCAACATAATACTCTCTAGCTCCATTCATGTCATTGCAAATGGCAAGAATTCTTTTTTTTATGGCTGAGTAATATTCCATTGAATATATATACCACTGCTTCTTTATGCATTCATCAGTTGATGGACACTTGGGCTGTTTCCACAATTTGGCTATTGTAGATAATGCTGCTGTAAACTTTGGGGTGTATGTGTATCCATTTGAATTAGTATTTTTGTCTTCTTTGAGTAAATAGTAGTGAAACTGCTGGATCATAGTGTAGTTGTATTTAATTTTTTATATAATTGGGGCGCTTGAGTGGCTCAGTTGGTTAAGGGTCCAACTCTTGATTTTAGCTCAGGTTGTGAGATAGAGCTGTGTATCAGGCTCTGTGCTGAGTGTGGAGTCTGCTTAAGATTCTCTCCTACTTTCTCCCCCTACTCCCTTCTCTCCCTCTCTAAAAAATAAAAATTGAAATATCTGATAATAATAAATGCTGGTGAGAAAGTGAAAAAACTTAAAGTTACATAGAATATTGGTGAGAAAGCAAATTTTTACAGTCACTTTTGAAAACTGTTTAGTAGTTCTTATAAAGTTAAATATGCACTTACCATATGAAGTCCCACTCTTAGGTATTTACTCCAGAGAAATGAAAAAAACATTTGCAGACAGAAACCTGCACACAAATGTTTTTTTTAACTCAACTTTATTTACAGTAGCCAAGAACTTGGAAATTTCAAATGTCTTCCAATGACTAAATGGATAAACTGTGGTATGTTCTATGCAATGGAATACTACTCTGCAATAGAAAGGAGAAACTACTCATATAGACAACACAGAAAAATCTCAAATGCATTATGCTTGAGTGAAAGATGTTAGTCTAAGAGGAATATGTACTCTCTTATTCCATTTATATAGCATTCTTCAAAAGTCAAAATTATAGAACTGGGTTAGTTGTTGCCCAGGGCTGGGATGGCTAGAGGATTTAATTATAAAGGAGCAGCATAAGGGAATTTTTTTGGAGTGATGGTTCTGTTTTGTATCTTGGTTGTGGTGGTGGTTTCATTAATATATATGTTTGTCCTAACTCATAAAACTGTATACCAAAAAGAGTGAAATTAACTATAAATAAATTTAAAAGTGAGTAATAATAACGGATAAAAAGAGCAATGCTAAAAGAGATGTATTGGTCAAATTAAAGACATTCAAAATGTTTTATTAACCTAGGTGCAACTCTTTGTAAACCAAAAAAAAAAAAAAAATCAGTGGGTTTCCTAAAATTGAAACTTTTTTTTTAAAGATTTTATTTATTTATTTATTTGACAGAGAGAGACAAAGCGAGAGAAGGAACACAAGCAGGGGGGAGTGGGAGAGGGGAGCTCAGCAGGCTTCCCGCTGAGCAGGGAGCCTGATGCGGGGCTTGATCCGAGGACTCTGGGATCACAACCCGAGCCGAAGGCAGACACTTAACGACTGAGCCACCCAGGCGCCCTAAAATTGAAACTTTTAATATTGGAAAGAATGTGTTACATTTGACTTGGTGATGATTTTATAGAGTCAACCCATTTTTATAATCAGTTTTCCAAGAATGAATACTTAGGAGTAAAATTTTTTGATATTTTTCAAACGATTTAACCAGTTAAGACATTATTAAGGCATTACTAGATCTGGGCTTATGTATGACATCAGATGTATAAGAAAAATATTATGTAGAAATTCAGCTGAAATGTTCCCATGTGAAAATATGGCCTAAGCTATGTGATACTGCTGAGGGGAAGTCATTCTTAGAGGCTTCATTTTTCAAGTACTCCCGAGGCAATAAATTTATAACATTTTACTCATTGCTCTGCTTGTTTGAATAGAACATACTGAGCATAATCCTTTCAGTGTCTCAGGATCTTTTTTTTTAAGATTTTATTTATTTATTTGAGAGAGAGAATGAGATAGAGAGAGAGCATGAAAGGGGAGAGGGTCAGAGGGAGAAGCAGACTCCCTGCTGAGCAGGGAGCCCAATGTGGGACTCGATCCCAGGACTCCAGGATCACGACCTGAGCCAAAGGCAGTCGCTTAACCAACTGAGCCACCCAGGCGCTCTGTGTCTTGGGATCTTTATTAAAACACTGAATCCTAAAGCTGAGAGCAACCTGAGAAATCCCATATCTGAATATGATAGATAAAGTGAAGGGCCTAGTCATACATACAAATATGTTATAACTATAGCATGCTTTACAAAAAAAAAAAATGAGCTCACATATCCTAAATTATTTGTAAAAACCCAGACTGGTAGGTAGAACATGTCATATATTCTAGCATTTTACAAATTAGGAAATAGAGGCTCATAAAAATTAAGTGACTTACACACTAGTCCACAGTGGAGCTAAGTGTAGCACACAGGTCATCTTATTCCTATGGGCTGTCATGTCCTAAGTGAGTGGCACATTGCAAAGAGTATTAGATTAGTAAATCTTGGGGTAAGGCTAAATGACTTGTTATTTCAGTATTTAATTCCTTAATTCAGTTACCCTCCATACCTCAACCCAACAAACTTCAGTTTCCATGAAACCAGTAGCTTGCCATTGTATTTCCACAGAAATAAGAACTCAACTTTTAAAATGAAGGTTTTTACAATTCTTTCTGATTTTTGTGTAAATGATTAGTAACTTTGTCTATGCAGTCATTCAATACCTTGCCACTTAATGGACCAAGGTAACTAGGGTAGGTAGAGATAATGACAAGTTATCTTGCTTATAAGGTTTTATCTAGTTGCTGTGATAAAGAATAAATGTCCTATAATTTGAAAGAAAAACATTAGATCTCTTGAGCAAGGTGGCCTTCCTGCTATTGCTATGAATTTAAGGGAAAAACTAAAAAGGTCACAGCATTGTCTACTGTCAGAATGTAGACTCCAGAAATCGGTTTAGTACTCAGCATCTATATTTGGCTATAGTATCAGTGAAGAAGAACCTGCTGTGCTTTTTAATGCTTATATCATACTTGAGTACATATAATTGTTGTAGCTAGCCAGTAGGTAAACATTCGTATATTTTACAGCAGGTTATCGTCACACATGAGGATCACTCATATCTTGTACTCTAGGATTTTTTATTTTTGTAGTTACAGCCCTGCAGAGAAGGATCAGAGCCATTACCCTCATTATGCATTAATGAAATGGAAGTTTATGGCCCTCCTCAGAACTCATTCCAAAAAACCTTGCTTCTAAACCCACACCAGATGACATATTTTAGGTATTTGCCCTCTGCCTCCCAGCTCCTCTCTTGACTGTAGCTGAATTATTTAGGAAAAGGAATCCTAAATTGCTCTGAAAGGTGACAGCCATGATAGTAAATGCTGCTTTGATGGATATCATCACTACTCTCTGGTCCAAAAATTCTTTAAAATTTGGTCACACTGCAGAATGCAATCCCCTTCAGAAAGTTAGTGGAGTTACCGTTCCTGAAAGTTTCAGGGAGAAACTCTACTCGTCTTTCCTGTGTCCTCTCCCACATCTGATTTTCTCTAATTGGATTTCTTTTTTTTTTTTTTTTTAAGATTTTATTTATTTGAGAGAGAGAGAATGAGAGATAGAGAGCACGAGAGGGAAGAGGGTCAGAGGGAGAGGCAGACTCCCTGCTGAGCAGGGAGCCCGATGCGGGACTCGATCCCAGGACTCCAGGATCATGATCTGAGCCGAAGGCAGTCGCTTAACCAACTGAGCCACCCAGGCGCCCTCTAATTGGATTCCTTAACATTAGATAAGAAGATGTTTGTGTGGGCAAGAAAATAAGTCAGGTGTACAAATGGCAGTAGACAGTTATATGTCTGTCTTTAATTTCTTTATTGTTCAACATATTCAGAGAAAGGAAAATTATTTTTACTTCCACATCAGTGTACTTGGTTGTTTCCATACCCAGTATACTAGAATGCTTTCTGTTTGGTTTGGCTTATAGTGTTTCTGTTGTTGCTGTTTTCCTAATTTTGAAGGGACAATTTCCTTGGGAAGGGTTTTCTTTCTGTCAGCTTTTAGGAATGACAATTTCAGTATGAACACTTCTAATAAGAACCAGAAGTTGCCTTAATCTAATTACAAGTGTTCTTTTTTTATAAAATGCACTACTAAAATTCATCCTTTTCAAGAAAAAAAAAGAGTTTGACCTTTTTATTGTGAGTTTCATAGGTTGTTTTCTCTTAATATTAAACACTTTGTGTATTGGCAGAAAGGATAAAGTGCATTTTAAAATTTTTCTTGTATAATTATGATGCTGTCAATTTAATTAAAAGTACATATTTTTACATGGTTTACTTTTAGTAAAATGCACATGATTTTGAACTTTGATTTATGTACTATAGTTATTAAAAATAATAATTTTGGTTGGTATTACCTAAAGCAGAGATATTTTGAGTCACCAACACTTCCTTTTTATTTTTAAGCTTTTTAAGAGAGGTTTTGTTTTAATATATATATGAAGAACCCCTTTATTCAAGAAAGGAAAAATAAAAGCCATCCTTTTATTTCAGACCACAATTTCTGGCTGTAAGACATGCCAGATGCCTTGTTTGACAAAGAACAGTGAGTGTTCCTGTTGATAACTGACCATGAATATATGGCTACCACCATCTCTGGCTTTACTAGCCATAAATATTTATTTCATTGAAAGAACCTTTATTTCCCAGTGTACTGACACTAACCAGATAGAGTTTTCCTCTCTCTCTTGTTTTTTGTCCTTAAAGTTGTTACTTTTTCTGAACAAATTTAATAAATGTTTGCATTATATATAATTTTCAGTTAGAACCTGTTTCCCTTTGGCACACAAATTATTGCCCATTACTGGGAATTAGTTCAATTAAATAAATCTTGCAACTTTGAAGCACTGAAACTGTATCAAAAAATGGAAGCATGCAAATTCTGCATACACCCAATTCTTATTCCAATTTTCAGAGTATCTTCTTTTATTTTTAGATGAATCTACGTTCTGTATTTACTGTAGAACAACAAAGGATTTTACAGCGTTATTATGAAAATGGAATGACAAATCAAAGTAAAAATTGCTTTCAGCTCATATTACAGTGTGCACAGGAGACTAAGCTGGACTTCAGTGTAGTCAGGGTAAGTATCGAGGTTGTAATTCTTGAATTTATAGCTTTTTATAAGTGATAATTGCTTAATATGAGAAAAACCATCAGAGTATGGAGTCCTTAACTTTATAAACAGTTTCATTTCCCTGGTATAAAAATACTACTTTTTAAAAAATAATAAATAGAGCTAATAATTTAGTATGTATTTGTTTCTGTAAATACCTTGAAGACACTAAAACTTTTGCATCATAAACATAGCTTTAAAAACTCCCAATCCTTTGAACTAATGAATATTTTTAAGATTAGTTGCTTATCATGTGCCTTCTTTAAACCCAGGATTAATCTGGAGATAACCTGCCAAAATGATATCAGTAACACAGGCATTTACCAAGGGACTATTGTGTACCTAGCATATTTTCTTGGTGTATTTGAATTTTTTATCAGGCATTTCTGACTTCAGTATTTTTGTCTTTTTAAGGAAAACCTGGCCTTTTTTATGAATACCCACTCCTTTTTCTAAGTAAAATGCATATATTTTAGTGAGTTAGTTAATGAGTAGGAAACAAGAAATCCCATGGGAGGAAGTTTTCCTTTATCACAACCGTAGTAATTTAGCTGTAAAAATCAGAGCCCTTAAACTTCTGTGAAAGGCAATGAGAAGGTGATAGAGAGGAGACAAGAGATAAATCTAACAGAATTAGTTACAGATTTTATTGAGTGCATAGGTCCTTTCATGTGTATCTGAACATGGTACAAATACTCCTGGCTTGAAAACTTATGGATTCAAAGATTGGCAACTTTCTCATCCTTGTCATTCATTAGGCTAATTGTCAAAGAGAAAGGACATCTGGTTTTAGGTTTATGTTTCTTTTAGAGGAACTTTCAAAAGACCCTAAATATAAAAAAATCTCTTGATAAGCAGAATTCTTTGGAAAATGTATTTCTTAAAGACTAAAGGATATATTCACCTTTGAACAGGGAATTATGACACCAGTTCTAGGGGCAAAATATCACAGGATATCGTTTTTTCATGTGCTGTGATCAACCATTATATTCAGATTCGTGTAAGAACTAGAAATATCTTCTGTTTATAGATATAAATTCCCTATTTGAATTTACAGCTCGATTTTCTTCTTTACTATGAACCCTAGACTATTTAATTTTTTTTTGGTAACAGATTTGGTAAAATTGTGCATAAAATAAGACAAAGTATGTTTTAAGGTCAAAGGTTGTCCTTTTAGTAAATTCAAGTCCCTATTTCCCTTTAGTAAATCTCATAGAAAAATGTTTAATTTCCTTAGAAAAAATAAATGTGTATTATTTCAAATTGATGAGATGGCGTTTTATAACTACAAACTCATTTTTTGGGAGTAATTTTTTTTTCCTTTTATTTCTTCTTTTATTTCTTTTATTTTATCATTACTTAAAAGTGAAAAGCCTTCTCAGACAGCTGCTTATGGACTATGTGACTTTTCATATTTCCAGTTTGTTATTGGAATTTCCCCCCAATAACTTACTTGATTGAACTTGAATATTGACAGTGCTGAAATACAAAGATCTATATTTATGCTCCAAATGGTATGAAATCTAAAACAATTAGAATGAGGGAAATAAATTCCTAGATTGTAAACTTACAAGTAAAATGTTATTTAGGTTTTAAGGAATTGTCTAAAACAGATTCATTCTCTCTGTTCTAAAAGAGTGTAAGTTGTATAGAAATTCAGTCTCCCTAATCTAAATTCCAACACAATTTTGGTTGCTTTCTCCAGTCTGAGAAGAGAGTTGTTTATAGACTCATTCTATAACCTCCCCTGCCTTCAATATTTTGCTAGGTCTATATGTTCTACTTGAAAGAGATTTTTCTTTATTATTTTAATATAGTATTTGTTGTGTTTTTCCTCAGAACTAAAATCCCATGGTACTGAGAACCTGATCCCAATGTAAAATGAACTTAAAAGGCTAAAAAATCCATGCAAAAAATAGAGTAAAGGAACAGAGAATCAAAGAAAGAGGTATAGAAAAAGGAAAACATGTTTGGAGACAGTAAATTTCATTTCATCTTAGCCAGAAGGCTGAGAAGCAATGAAGACTGAATTTCAAAGAGAGAATTAAAAGAGAATTTTATGAACTGGTGACCTAATGTCTTTCTTTTTTATGTAGTATTACTTTGTTAGCTATAGACCCCAAATTCTCATCATGTCAATTTTGTTTGACCCATTTTCTCTCTCAACAAATGAGGCATTTGGAATGAGAATCATTTATATTCTACAAGCACTGGTAATTTTTGGATCCTGTAACTGAATGGCTTTAAGAGAAAATTCAGTTATTGGGAATGCTCACACAATAAATTTTCTTTATTTTCAGAATTTTGAAAATATTTCTTAAGTATACACTTTCTCACTTTAACTTCAAAGGAAAATATTGAAAATCATTGAACGCTTACTTTTTAAATCAGAGTTTCATTGTGAAAATGAATTATTTCATTGTGCTATAAAATAATAATAATGCTCATAACATGGTAAGCTATATGGGGTGATTTTCTCCTTCACTAAAGAACTCCAAACTATTCAATTATTTCTCACATTAATTCTCTTATGTCCTTTTTAGTGAGTAAAATTTCATGGACATTCTGTTTCGGTGCTATCAAGTTGCCTCCAATAGCAATCTCTGTCACCAATGCTCTGCTTATCTTGTTATTTCTAATTTGTTATAGATTAGAATACCAGATTTGGTGAAATCCTATATAAACTAAGAGAGAGTGTATTTTAAGGTCAAGCGTTGTGCTTTTAATAAGGTACATGTATCCTGTGCTATCTGTGTTGGCTGTGTTCTGGACAAGTGAGATTGTTAGATAGCTGAGCTTCATATGCACATGATATTCTAGTGCATTTTACTTTTTTATGAGCATGTAATGTAAATATCTAAAAACTATATAAGTAACTATATATAGAAATATATTACAAATTTATGGCTTATTTTAATAGTTTTACAGTCCATTATATATATGAATAATTACAGTTCATTATATATATCATTACAGTTCATTATATATATGAACTATTAAAATAAGCCATAAATTTGCAATTCACTAAGATCACTCTTAAACTTCCTGCATTAAGGTATTTATAGTAATGAGAACCTTTATTTGTTTTCTTAGAAATATTGCCCAGAGCTGCCCTCCAGACATAGTACTTCTTGAGTTCAAATGTTACAAATTCACTGTGCTTGAAAGTTTTTAAGTGTAATGATTGTACATTTTTAAAAACTATGAACAAATGCATTATGCTTCCTATGCATATTTTACATACTTGAAAAGCCATGATACAGTAACTTATTTTGAATATTTGTAAAATTCACCTTTTTGAACCATACCTTGAAATTATATTTATCCAAAAATATTTCTATTTAAATATTTCTTTTGAGTATATATTTTAAAACCTTTCACTTTTTCTACTCTGTCTCCTTCTCCTTTGACATTTATATTTATTTATCCCTCTGCTTGTAATTCTCACCTCTGCCATTTAGTAAAACTAAATGAGAGTGAGTTTAAAATTCCCATAGCCTCATGTGAAACAAAATTGAGCATCTACATCTCTGGAACATTTTCCTTGTTAGAGAAATACTAATTATAAAAATAAAATGGCCAACAAAGATGACCATTTCAGGAGTTTCTTGCCATAGTGGAAGGAGAATGTGCTTTGAGGTCAAGTAAAATTGATTTTGAATCATTGCTCCATCACTTGCTGACAGGATATCCTTCTACAAGCTAGTTAATATTTCTGAACATCAGTTTTTTCATCTGTACAATAAGAAAAAATAATCAAAGAAACTAACATATATAAAACGTGTAATGGAGATTCAATACATGCTAGCTTTTATTTATAGTATTACAGCAACATTAATGTTGTATATTGTATAAACATCAAAAACTGAGAAATTTTTGTGGTCTTCAGAAACACATCACATAAAAGTTAACCAAATACACCCTGCACCATGTTTGTGAAGGGCTAGTTTATTTAATATTTTCACTTACTTTATTTTTTTAAATTTGTAATAGATTAATGTGTTTTGATAGTTTATAATATGTTATGCATTTTAAAATAGTTATAAGGTGTACCGATCACATGGAATGTAATATTTCTTATTGCATATTTCTTATTGTATAATCATGACTGAGTGTAATACTACTAAAGTACATATTTTGTAATCAAACCTGAATGCCAACTTCTTGTATTATTTTTATTAATAATGATTTTTCTGTTTATAAAAGTAATACACATTTACTATTTAAAATTTGGTAAGTAGAGAAAAATATAAAGAAGGAAATAACTACCATAAATTAATGACAAACTGGGAAAAATATTTGCAACTGTGACAAAGGGTTGCTATCTCTAGTAAAAAAATTGCTTTTATAAATCAATTTAAAAAGATAAATACCCCAATATAAAAATGAATAAAATTAATGGAAAAGCAATTTTATTAAAGTAATATAGTAACCATAGAAATTCAAATGAAAGCAGCAATTATATACCTCATATTAGCTCCTAGGCTAGTAAATACTACAAAAAGATAACGCAAAATATTGTGGAGGGTGTGGAGAAACCAGAACTCTTATACGTTGGAGGGTATTTTGAAAGTATCAAAAAGCCCAACACTTTCCTGTTTTTTTTAGTACATCATTAGTTTTTGATATAATATTCAATGATTAATTAGCACAAAGATGCATATACAATGACATGTATTTCAGTATGGTTTATAATAGTGAATAATTTTAAAAATAACCCAATAATATCTTGCAATATTAAATTAACCAAGTCATGATATATTCATAGAACAGAAGTTGTTAAACCTGAAGATTATAAGTTTGTTTAATAATACTATGAACATTTTCCAATGTCATTAAATGTCCTACTTTAGTATGCTTCCAATTTTTCACTATTAAAAATAAGATGAACATAATTGCATATAAACTTTGTATACATCTATGATTATTTTAAGGATAAATTCCTAGAAATGGATTTATTAGGTCAAGGGATATAAACATTTTTAGGATTCTTGCTATAGATTAATTGAGTGGATTTTGAGGAAAGAAGCAATAATACAATTGTTATCAAAGTTCCTAGATATTTACTAAGAGCAAGTTCTTGAACATGTCTGACCTTATAATTTTTTTTTACTGTATACTTTAGTTACTTTTTCTTTTATTGTATCTTTTTTGCTTTATTTATTTTATTATTTATTTTTGTTTTTATTTTTTTTTACTCAATTAGACAACGTATAGTACATCATTTGTTTTTGATGTAGTGTCTTAAATTTGTATAGGCCTTACTTTTATGACAAATGAGAATACAATTTATCACATTGAAAGTGTTTTTTCCTATCTTTTTTTGTTAAGAACATTTCCATATTGTCATTTTTTATCATTACAGACGTGGGTTGGCAATAAGAGAAGAAAAATGAGTAGTAAGAATTCTGAATCAGGAGCAGCAACAACAGGAATTCTTCCTGGTACCTCTTTGACATCTCCAGACATTACAGTCAGGAATGTAGTTAATATCACTCGACCGTCAAGCCAACAGTCTTCTTGGACATCTGCCAATAATGATGTCATTGTAACTGGCACATACAGTCCACCAAGTTCATCAAGTAGGCAAGGGACAACCAAACATTCAGATACACAACTTACAGAAGCACATAAAATTCCTATTCAGAAAACGGCCAGTAAAAATGATACTGAGTTTCAGTTGCACATTCCTGTTCAAAGACAAGTAGCACACTGTAAAAATGCCTCTCTGCTCTTAGGTGAAAAAACAATTATCTTGTCAAGACAGACAAGTGTGCTAAATGCGGGAAATTCAGTATATAGTCACACAAAGAAAAACTATGGAAGCTCTTCAGTGCAAGCCTCTGAGATGATGGTACCTCAAAAGCCACCTGTGTGCCACCGACCTTGCAAAATTGAACCAGTTGGAGTTCAAAGGTCATATAAGCCTGAACACACAGGTCTAGCATCACATAACTTATGTGGGCAAAAGCCACCTATTAGAGACCCTTACTGTAGAACACAAAACTTGGAAATCCGTGAGGTATTTTCACTGGCTGTTAGTGATTACCCCCAGAGAATTCTGGGAGGAAATGCCCCACAGAAGCCTAGTTCAGCAGAAGGAACTTGTTTGTCTATTGCAATGGAGACTGGAGATGCTGATGATGAGTATGCCAAAGAGGAAGAGTTGGCATCGATGGGAGCACAAATACCAAGCTACTCAAGATTTTATGAAAGTGGCAGATCCCTTGGAACAGAGAACCAAAGTACACCATTGCCTGGACCAGGAAGAAATATGCCAAATTCACAAATGGTGAATATTAGAGATTTGTCAGACAATGTACTGTATCAAAACAGAGACTACCATTTGACACCACGGACCTCATTACATACAGTAGCTACCACAATGTACAGTAATACAAATCCATCACGGAGTAATTTTTCTTCACATTTTGCATCATCAAACCAATTGAGGTTATCACAAAACCAAAACAATTACCAGGTAAAGTATGCATTTATTTTATATGTTTTTAAAAAGTTTTGTTTGGAATAAAAAGCTGTGTTTGATATCCAGTTAAACATGAGACCTGGCTCACTTAACTCCTATTCTGAAGTAATTTGAGAATTTTTGCTTCAAAGTGGTGGTTTCGGAACTTTGAAGAATCTTGTGCTTTCTTTGTCATGTTTAAAATGGTGTTTTCCCCCAATGGAATATAATCATGGAAGCTTTCTCCTGACATTTAAAACTATTTTGTTTAGGAAATAGTAGTCTTATGGGAAGCATGGCATTTCCCATCACTAAAATAGGACTAAATTGATTCTTCTCAGCCCCTTTAACATAGATTATTCCTGTAATGGCTTTTAGTTCAAGTTTGGGAAGCTGTCACCAGATGAGTGGTGCTTTCTCTGGATACATGGCAAGGCAAGTCAATCATTTCCCCAAGAGATGATGGCTAAGAAGTCAGAGTATGCAGTAACTCAGCCAACTGCTTTTTCTAAAAGTAAATGCTTTACTAAAACATCAAGTGGAACGTTGATCAAGTTTTAAAAGTGTTTATAGGGAAGAGACATTCAGAGTAAAATTTAAAGCGACTTTAGTCCTGTGCAAAAAATAAATATTATTTCTTCACTATTTCACATATTCAGTTGTTTAGATGTGCTTTAAATTATCTCAACAGTGATGTATGTGGAGGCCCACCTCAGAATATCTCCTAAGGCCATAGATTTCTCTGAAAAAAGATGTTTCTGAGAATTTGAATAGCAGGGCATGGAAGTTTGCTATTTTTTCTTGCTACTGGCTGGACCCTTTGAATTTTTCAACCACAGTATTTCGGTTTAATGTGGACTTAAACTCCTTCCAGGCTATTCTTAACCAATATAAGGAACCAGTTTCTCTCAACTCCTTCCATCTTATAGCTCCCTGCTTCAAAATTAAAAACAGTAACAGAGTATAGGAAGACTCTCTCTGGTGCCTAGCCCTAACATAAAAGGACACTATCATCATCATTAGTATTCATTTATTATAGAGAATCTACTCATTTTTTCTGTTTGTTCTTTCCTAAAGCATGCTTAAAGTAACATTGAATCATACCATTAAAATCTACCAAACCAGCTTTAATTCACCTTCTCTTTTGTACTTCTTTACCCCTTTAGTGTTGTTCTTAATAATATTAATGACAATAAAATTTACCATCTGTTGAAGGACTTCCACACACCAAGCATCATTAGTCACTTTATGTACCTGATTTCATTTAATCTTCTAGACATATAGGCCACTCTGGACATGTAGGTATTTTATATATATTTCAATAACTTGTCCAGGATCATATAGCCAGTAAGTACATGACAGAACCAGTATTCCAACTAAGAAATATATCATGTGTATTTTTTTCTGCTTTATCAAACAGCCTAATTTTTTCAACTGTGTTAGAATTATTTGGAAGCTTGAAAGTGCAGTTTAATTTTTATTTTTTCATAAGCCAAACACTCCCTAAAAATAACTTAACCTATGCCTTTTTATAGTCTTTTTTTTCCTGACAGAACTTTTAAAGGAATTAAATTTCTTTTATATAAAAGAAACTCTTAAAAGGAATAAAACTTAGCAAATTTTTGAATAGTAATCTCTTTAAAGAAAAGCAGTCTGACATAACAATGAAGAGCATTGACTTAGAGACTGATAGACTTGGATTCAAATTTAGGTTCTGCCACTTCCCACTTGTGTGACCTCAGGCAAGTGACATGACTTCTCTGTGTAAATGTGTCCTCATTTGTATAATGTGGTTAATAATATCTATTTCACAGGAAAGCTGTGACATGATTATGTCACAATCAGTGCAAGGCTACTTGTGCATTCCCTGGCACATAAACTTTACTTTTGTTGTTGTAGTTGGAAAGTTAATGAAGATCTGCTGGCCCAAGTCTCCTTTACATTCAATTTCAAGTAAAATATTGCAGAGTCCACGATTATGACAGGGTAGTTGAAGAAGAAATAGCTGTAGTGCTGGCTGAAAAAAGACTGGAGATTAGCCATCAACTTTACCATAATCGATGTACTTACTCTTATTTATATTATACTGGACCTTCTCCAACTTGACCTTAGACAGTATGGTAAAGGGTGTTTGCAGAGAACCCTTGGGGCATCACTTTGCCCCACCTTTCTTTTAATTAGTTGAGATCTGGAGAAATCAAAGCAGCCTGAGGAAGTGTAGTTCATGAAAATGTCTTAGTCCATTCAGACTGCTATAACAAACATACTATAGACTGGGTGGATTAAACAACAAACATTTATTTCTCACAATTCTGGAGGCCAAGAAACCCAAAATCAAGGCACTGACAGATTCGGTAACTGGTAAAGGGATGCTTCTTACTTCTCAAATGACCGTCCTCACTGTGTCCTCATATGGCAAAAGGGGCAAAGGAGCTCTCTGGGTTCGCTCTTATAAGGAAATTAATCCCATTCATGAGGGCTCCATTCTCATGACCTAATCACCTCTCAAAAGCCCAACCTCGAAACACGATCACATTGGGGATTAGGTTTCAACATATGAATTCAGCTGAGGTATAAACATTCAGCCCATGGTAGTTATTCTATAAGACTTTGTTGAAGTTCTATTACCAAGCTATATTACTGTTAGGTGAGGACTTAGAAAAATAGAACCTATGGGGCGCCTGGGTGGCTCAGTCAGTTAAGCGTCTGCCTTCGGCTCAGGTCATGATCCCAGGGTCCTGGGATCGAGTCCCGCATTGGGCTCCCTGCTCTGTGGGGAGCCTGCTTCTCCCTTTCCTACCCACTTGTGCTCTCTCTCTCAAAAAATAAAATCTAAAAAAAAAAAAGAAAAGAAAAATAGAACCTATGGCTATATTGGCAACTTTCTAGCTGTGAAACTGCAAGCAATTCTCATTAGTTTCTGACTTTAGGATATATAACAGAGATATCTGCCTCTTCTTCCTGTTACACCAGGTATCTTCGAGCTGAGGTCCTATTCCTGGAAGATAGTCTAGTTCCAAGTGATCTAGGTGAGTGAGTACAAATTGAAGGAATTCTAGAGGATGCTGAAAGGAAGCTCTGTTTTGGAACCTCTTGGGAATACAATATTAAGTGTTGAAGTGGTAGTAAGGAAACTGTCAGGGGGTGGCTATATCAGGATACTATAGTTCACTTCTAATTTTTTTCTTTACAGGCCAATTTATTTCATTTTGTATACACTTATTTTGTACTTTCAAGTTTCTATTTAAATTCCAGTTAATATACAGTGTAATAATAGTTTTAGGTGTAGAATTTAGTGATTTATCATTTACGTACAACACCCAGGGCTCATCACAAGTGTCCTCCTTAATACCCATTGCCCATTTAACACATCCCCCCACCCACCTGCCCTCCAGCAGCCCTCAGTTTGTTCTCTATAGTTAAGTCTGTTTTATGGTTTGCCTCTCTCTTTTCTCCCCCATGTTCATTTGTTTTGTTTCTTAAATTCCACATATAAGTGAAATAATATAGTACTTGTCTTTTTCTGACTGACATTTCTCTTCGAATAGTACTCTCTAGCTCCATCCATGTCATTGCAAATGGCAATTTTTCATACTTTTTATGGCTGAGTAATATTCCACTGTGTATAAATGCCACTTCTTCTTTATGCTTTCATTGATAGACATTTGGGCTCTTTCCATAATTTGGCTATTGTTGATAATGCTGCTATAAACATCAGGGTGCATATATCCCTTCAAATCAGTATTTTTGTATCCTTTGGGGAAATACCAATAGTGCAATTGCTAGATGGTAGGGTAGTTCTATTTTTAACATTTTGAAGAACCTCCATACTCTTTTCCAGACTGGCTGTACTGGTTGCATGCCCACCAAGAGTGTAAGAGGGTTCCCCTTTCTCTGCATCCTCACCAACACCTGGTGTTTCCTGTGTTGTTAATTTTAATGTTTCTGACAGCTGTGAGGTGATATCTCATTGTAGTTTTCATTTGTATTTCTCTGATGATGAGTGATATTGAGCATCTTTTCATGTGTCTGTTAGCCACCTGTATGTCTTCTTTGGAAAAATGTCTATTCATGTCTTCTACTTATTTGTTAACTGGATTATTTGTTCTTTGGGTTTTGATTTTCATATGTTCTTTATATGTTGTGGATACTAACCCTTTATCAGGTATATCATTTGCAAATATATTCTCCCATTCTGTAGATTGCCTTTTAGTTTTGCTGTTTGTTTCCTTTGCTGTTTAGAAGCTTTTTATCTTGGTGAAATCCCAATAAATCATTTTTGCTTTTTTTCCCTCGCCTTCAGAGATGTTTCTAGTAAGAATTTGCTATGGCCAAAATCAAAGAGTTTATGGTCTGCTTTTTCCTATAGGATTTTGGTGGTTTCCTTTATCACATTTAGGTCTTTCATCCATTTTGAATTTATTTTTTGTGTATCATGTAAAAAAATTAGTCCAGTCTCATTCTTCTGCATGTTCCTGTCCAGTTTTCCCACCATTTGTTGAAGAGATTTTTTTCCATTGGATATTCTTTCCTTTGTTGAAGATTAGTTGATATAGTTGTAGGTTCATTTCTGTGTTTTCTATTCTGTTCCATTGTTCTATGTGTGTTTTTCTATCAGTCCCATGCTGTCCTCATTACTACAGCTTTGTAATATAACTTGAAGTCTGAAATTGTGATATCTCCAACTTTCCTTTTGTTTTTAAGATTGCTTTGGCTATTCATGGCCTTTTGTGGTTCCATACAAATTTTAGGATAGTTAGTTCCAGCGCTGTGAAAAATGCTGGTGGTATTTTGATAGGGACTGCATTAAGTATATAGATTGCTTTAGGTAATATCCACATTTTTAAAAAGACTTTATTTATTTATTTGTCAGAGAGAGACACAGTGAGAGAGGGAACACAAGCAGGGGGAGTGGGAGACAGAGAAGCAGGCCTCCCACTGAGTGGGGAGCCCGATGTGGGGCTTGATCCCAGGACCATGGGATCATGACCTGAGCCAAAGGCAGACGCCCAACG